TTTATATACTATGTCCTGTAGGTGATCATGGTTCTTCACAGCATCCTGTCTTTTGTTACTATCAGCAATGTTTGTTCCTATTGACATGGCTATTGTTTAACACAAAGGCAAGCAAAAGTAATTTAACAAAATAATAAGTAAAAAAAAAGCAATAAATAGAAAAAGCAAGACGGGTCAGATAGTAAAGATGCTGATCAAGGTAATCCCAATTAGTTCACCAAATTAATTTTAAATATACTACAGGATATCAGGATATTAGCAGATTTATTCCACTGAGTGAATGGTGCAGGATTATTTTTGTTGTGTGTGTGTGTAAATATATATAAAACATGTTGTTGCCTGTCTTCATTGTATGTATATCTTTGAATTTCACCCCTAATCCTATTCACCTATTCTCTTTTATTTTTTTTCTAATTGTTGGTACCATTTCTTGATGAAATGACATTCATTCTACCATTTTTTTTCATTTTCTATTATTAATGGAAGTGAATTTAGTCTTCCTTCTTTTCGAAAACTTTGAATATTATTTCTTTAAATTTTTATTTTTTCTCTAACTCATGCTATTAGATGTCATGAAAATCCCAAGTCATGGATGTGGAGTGTTCTTGTTCAACAAGTGCATGTTGGCACTTAAACTGAGTTAAAACTTTATATTTAGGTTTCAACTCTGTGTGCTATGCACATTGTTCATAGACTCCTTGTATTCTATTTATTTGTCTCTGTTTTATGTTTTTTTCTCTGTGTGTGTATAATAAGAGTAGATAGGCTTGCCTATCGCCCTAGGTCAATACTCCTCCCCCTTCTCTTGAACAGGTATAGAGGCTCATCCCTTGTTTCCTGTTTATAAAGGGGTTCCCAGATCTTTTCTTTTTCTCTGGCCTCCGTAATAGTACTGTCGTGAATCTCTTCAGGCGTGTGCAGTCTGTGGCAACGTCTCTTCATACTGAGGGTACCGGGTTGACAGTTCTCTGGTTGCTGTTCCCAACTGGTAGTTAGGAGCCCTAACTCTTGTGTAGCGTCTTGAGTGGCTGCTCTGATCAACAGTTGCATAATATTGAGGTGCCTTTGGTGCCATGTCGTGCATGGAAGGGTATCTCTGCATGTACCTCTGGTGGGCAACACTGAGGCCACTTTATATTACAATCTGTGCCAGCTCCTTTCTGTCCATGTCACATATGATGACCTTCTGTTACTATTACTTTAGGCCTTTTAACTACCAATATGTCTCAGCCAACCTTATCTCATTAATCCCTTCCTCTGATTTCTTGATTCCTGGTTACCTTCCTCTCTTTAGAAAGGACTCTAAAATCCACACACATGGCCTGGGAGTTTATGCCCGAGACAATCTCCCACTGGCTAGAGAACTCTCTCTTGAATCTCCCAACCATTCATATATGTGTCTCCAGCTATCTCTCCTCCATTTTGTTAGCTATCTCTTCTTTCTCTATCGTTCCCCTTCCTCTCAAGACTGTGGTGTACTCATTAGCATTTCTGATAATATGGACAAGGCAATCTCTCTACATCCGTTTTCACATATATTCGTGTTCAGTGACTTTACCACCATACCACATGGCTTAAAAACTCTATAACTGACCTCACTGGCATACAAACACTTAACTTTTCAATCACTCAACCCCTCACACAAGTGGCTATATTTCCTATGCATTTCCCCAGTAACCCTGACAGTAAGGCTTTCCTTCTCAATCACTGTTTTACCTCCATCCCCAGCTCCTATCATGTCATGCAGCTCTGCCCTCTTGGTAACTCTGATCATGCCATAGTGTCTGTTAACATCTCCTTCTACTCCTTCACCAGCAAAGAACCTTTTACTAACAGAATATCTGTCTGTTATCAACATGCAGACTAGGTGATTTCCTTCGCGATGCCTCCTGGAATGTGGTTTTTAATTTCCCTGTTCAAAAATGTGCATCTGGGGTCTCCTGGGTAAAATCTGTAATTGAGATTTTCATCCCCGCAAGAAAATACAAAGTTAAATTGTGCTCATTTCCTTGGTTCACAGACACTTACTCAGCTGCTATTGCCCATAGGAATCACTTCTTCCATCTGTACCAAAGTGACATGTCTGATCACAACATACATCTCTTTGTCTCTGCCTATAATGAGCGCAAGTGTGTCCTCAATGAAGCAAAGCTACTATTTGCTGGAAAAATGAAACAATGTGTTGCATCTCGCGAGTTTGGTTCTAGAGATTATTGGGGGTTCTGCAAGAGTGTGCTTAACAACAATAAATTCTCAATACCTCTATTCAATCAATTTGAGGTACTGACTTCCTCAGCTGATAAGGCTGAATGCTTTGCTTGGAAATTCTCATCGAATTCAACGCTTGACTCATCTGGAGTACCCACACCTGATTTTCCCCTTAGAACTGAGGCTCTGTTGAGTGACATGAACCCATCGATGGTTTTGGACATCATCTCCAAATAAGGCTAGTGGTGGGAATGGGATATCAGCTGTTGTCCTGAAGAAATATGCTCCTCAACTGGCACCAGTCCTGTTAAAACTATATAACTATTGCCTCAGTGACTCTTGCTTTCCAGGCTGTTGGAAGTCCTCATCTGTTGTACCTGTCTTTAAGAACTAGTGACCCTTCTGACCTATTTAACTCCCATCCTACAACTCTTTGGCAAAGTCTTCGAGGCTTTGATCAATGCCGAAGTGGTTAAGCAACCTTACATCCCATGATTTGCTCTCAGACAAGCAATATGATTTCCAGTTTGCCTGTTCCACCACTGACATGCTCAGGACCATAACTGAATTTATATACCAAACACTTGATAATAACGGAGAAGCTCAAGCCGTAACTTTAGATATCTCTAAAGCATTTGATAGGGTCTGGCATGCTGGCTTTCTTCGTAAGCTTCAAGGATATGGCATTACAGGACAATTATTTGACTTAAAATCATTCCTGTCAAACCATGATCAAATGAAGGTTGTCCTAAATGGGTTCTCCTCCAGTTCCTTTCACATGAATGCTGGTGTTCCCAAAGCTTTTACCCTTGGTCCTACACTGTTTCAGATCTTCATCAATGATCTTCTTGATGTCATCAATTCAAACGTAGATATAACGTAGAAGTCCAGCACGCTGCTATTTTTTGATTTCTTAATATCTGACTCAGTTTCTGAAAAGTATCTTTCATTATTCATATGATAGTGGTGAGATTAGCCATTTCCATACAGGAAACATTAGGCATTCATTGACTGAACAGTTCAAGAAATTAGATTTCTTAAGTCTGCTGTTATCACTCTTTGATTGGAGTTCCCTTCCAGGTTTTACATTTGTGGTTGTGTGGAAGAAAGTCAGCATCTTGGTTATATCATTATTTTCCCTTCTGCTCATGTAACTACCCATTTTTTGTTGTTGGCATTGGAAGTCTTCACGTGATAGAGATTTTCTTATTTGGTAAAGCTCTCTGTGATTCTGTTGCACCAGTCTACAGGATCTGATGAAGGCTTGTCTTGTTTAAGACCTAAAGAATTCATTTGCTTGAAACCATTTTTGATCAATGATCTGGGAAAACAGTTGTAAATTACTGATAGTTCTGACAAGTTTGATGCCATACATGACATCCATGTAAGAGTCTAGCTCTGACTCGAGTTACTGAGTGAATATTTTTGCTTTGTTGCATCTTATAGTGCTGGACAAAATTACATAGCACAACGTATCCTATGTTCAATTTCTTTACAATAAATGCTTTGCTGCTTCTTGCTTTCCAGGTTGTTGAAAATTCTCTTCTGTAGTTCCTGTCTTTGTGAACCCTGGAACCTACTGACTCCATGAATTATCACTCTATTAGTCTCTTCTTTTTGGAAAAATACTAGAGGCTCTAATTAATATACCAAATTGATTAAGCATCTCACTTCACATGACCTTCTTTCAGATAAACAATATGGCATCTGTTTCTTCAGGTGTATTGCTGATGTGATAATGGTTATCATTTAATTTGTCTGCCAAGCTTTAGATAAGAATGGCAAAGCTAAGGTGGTGGGATTAGATATCTTGAAGGTATTTGACAGTGTTTGGCATACTGGGTTTTTCCACAAGTTCAAGGGCTACAGTGTCTCTGAGCTAATCCTTCCTAACAAATCAGGTAATGAAGTTTGTGTTGAATGGACATATGTGTAGTTTATTTCACTTTAATGCAAGTGTCCCCCAGGGCTCTATCCTTGGATTGACATTGTTTCTTATATTCATCAATGACCTTCCTGATGTCATCAATCCTCAACTAGGTATTTATGCAGATGCTATCTATCTTAGTAGCAAGTCTGATATGTCTGATAAAGTAGAACTCTCAAAAAGGACCTCCAATCAGTGGTTGACTAAGGCAAGGAATGGATTGTAAATTTTAATGTCTCCAAAACAAAACTAATTTAGTTTAACCACTACAGAGAACCTTTTCTGCCTGCCATCAGCATGGCTGATGCTAACCTCCAGGAGAGAAACTCTTTGTGCCTCCTTGGGTTCACATTTTCCACTTACATGAAGTGGAGGGATTATATTGAATCAGTTGCTAGGTCTGCTGCTAGGAAAGTTGGTTCATTGTGTTATGCCAGACAATTTTTCTTGTCAGTTTCTATCTTGCACATTTACAAATCTATATATCTTGAGATTCTTGACAAAATTCAAAGTAGGATCTGTAATATAATCAATCCTGATCTGGCATCTCGACTTCACTGATATGACATGGTTTTCCTTTGTCTTTTCTATAAATATTTTCATGGCAATTGTTCTGATGAGTTTCCCTCCTGAATAAATTTAAGTGGCTACTAAATTGGAAACTAGATATCACCATTTTACTGTTGAACTAGCTTAGATGTAAATGTGTTCTATTCTAATTGTTTTTTTCTCACACTTCTCATTTGTGGAACTCCCTTCTGAGTTCTTGCTTCCCTATCATGTACAATCTTCAAAAATTTAAATACACACACCAATCACCATCTTCTGTCCTTCAGAACCCTGTTCCTTTATATTCTAATTGACTTACGGCCACATCATATTGAAACACCAGTTCCCATACATTCACCGAAGTTAAGCAATGTCTCGTCAGTATCTAGATGGGTAACCGCTTGGGAATACCTGGTGTTGTAAGCTTGGATGTGCAGGTGGTATAAAGGAAAATGGCTTGGAATTGTCAATTGCGTTTGAATTCCAGTTGGGTTTGTTAAATTCACTTATGCACAAATACTCTTGGGAAAAATATGAATCTCCTTCTTCTCCCCTCAACTATGGGTTAATTAGTAAGACATATTACAAAACCATTATTATCTTAAAAAAAAAAAATTCATATAGTCTAAAAATATTTTCTGGTTTTAAATAACCTCCAAAGGGTTGATAAGCCATAGAAAATGATGACTGAATCAATCACTTCTCCTCACTCAAGTCATCTCATTCTCTTTTACTCCCAGTAACCCCTTGTTGAATTATACGTTGATTTTCATTGATAGGGAAGTAGAATATGAAGCTAGGTAAAGAAATCTAAGGGAGGTAACTCAGTGTTTGTTATGCAGATATTTTTTATAACGTTAAAAGTAAAGCTTATGATTCAGCATACTCCATTTTCTCAGTTGTTGACCAATGTAATGGTAGTTGTAATGTTGAGGCATAATTTAAAAGCATAAACTTCATTCATGAATAACCAATATATTTATACAAAATACATGAGAGATGTTTGAAAAGTAATGTGCAGAAATTTATTTAAACAATATTACCATATTTGACGGCATATAAGACACATGGGTGTATAAGACACACCCCAATTTCACCAGGACAAAGAAAAAATTAGTAATTAGTAAAATTATTAGTAAATGGTACAGCCCATGCTATATTTATGAGGTACTATTTTGGTTAAACAAGTCATGATTACAATTAAATAAAAAATAATAGGAAAAAAGAACACAAACCTATAAAAACTTTATTATATCCTTTATATGATCGGTACAACCTGTGTCTTGTAATTGTCTTATTGGAATAATTAGGATATAAAAATTCTGATTGTATTTATACCAATTCAACTGGAAGAAAAATATTAATGAAACAAATATATTTTACATTTATTTTATATAATTTGAATTTATTGCATATAATTTTAGTGAAACAAAGTACTAATATTAAACGTGATGAAATTAATATAATGAATATTATCAATGATAATAATTTAATCTCCATAATAGTCTTTTAAATAATGACAATAGTTATGTGAAAGTTACTCTAAAGTCTAAGCTAATAGGAGTTGCATGGTAGCTAATTTTGGCTGACTATAGCAAATTTTAAACCTACATTTGGCATATAAGACGCAGGGGAATTTTAAAAGATATTTTTAGTAAAAAAAAAATGTACTTTATATGCTGTCAAATATGGTAATTACTATACTAATAAATCGTTGTGTCTAAGTTGTCAGCATGACTATGTTTCTTTTTGCTGAAAATTATTATTGATGGTCTGAAACAGCTGGTAACCTGAAGGAGCCAAGCTAGGATTTTGGATTGAATGCAGTAAAACATCCTAACACATTTTTTTGTCAAGTTAGCCATGTGTAATGTGATGGTGTCATATAGCAGGATTTGACACTCTTATACAAATGTCCTGGTCTCTTTCAATGAATAGCCCTGAGTATAATGATAAACTACATCTAGCAGCAAGGCCTCTGATCGGGAGATTGGAGGAGATTTTGAGGAGTGTGGAACCACCTCAATAGCTGTTGTTCCCAGGTCCAGGTGGTAGCATCTGTTATGGTCCCAGCAATGAGCAAATAGTGAACCTCCAAACTAAAATCAAAACACTAGGAAAATATAAAAATACATTTGACACATGGGAGAAGAGTTTCAGCTATGACAGTCCAAAGAGCAGATTTGAAAATGAAATCATATATGAAATGTGTGAGTCACCTTGTGACTCCAGGACAGAAAATTGGAAAGTTAGAGAGGGCAAAGATCATCTTGAATAAGTTGAAAAATGATCCTAGAGTAATAGTAGCAAAAACTAAAATGGATATCACATATAACTCGACAAGAAAATAATGAGAGAATCAAGATGCTGACATTTCACACCATTTCAAATAAAAGTTATAAAGGAAACTCCTCCCCCATCATTATTGGAAAGAGTGATAACAGCTATTGGAATTGAGAAACCTGTTTTCCTGAAAAATTATTTTAAGAGAAAAATTTGATAAATTTCAACTGAACTAGCACTGGCTGTTCAGTCAATGAATAATTATTGCTTCCTTTATAAGGAAATTTTAGAATGATACCATTACCATAAGAATAGATTTCTGCTTGTGAAAATCAAATGTAGCAACTAGTTTGATTCAGTTAATCTATAACATAAATGTATATATATGTTTCTAAGGAACCAATGGATTTTATTTTCAATCCAATATTATTTCTTATTTACAATGACTTTCACCCTGTACAAAGTCCAAGAGTCATTCAAAGTAGAGGGTTACAGAGTAAGAAGCACCAGGTAAAGCAAGGAGATAATGCCACTAAGATGCAAGGAAGTGAAAGAGAAGGAAAAGGCTTTAGAAGGAACCAGAAACCTAATCCTAAACAGGAAGAAAGAGATATACCTCTACTCCTGTTCAAAAGACCAAAGAGACATGTCAACCAGACAATAGGCAAACCTATCTACTTCCATTGAGGGAAAAAGAAAAGTAAATAGTAAATAAAAGTTCATAGTTTTAGGTGGAGACAGAAGTATAGAGTTGAAGTTGACTAAAACTCAGAATGTGTTAAAAGAAGAATTGCTGCCCAGATCTACTAAATTTAAATAAAACTTATCTTCAACAGTTTCTTTTCTCACACTTCCCAGCTGTGGAACTCCTTTCTGTTTCCTTACTTCCCTGATAACTACAATCTTCAAAAATTTAAATGCAAAGTCAATCACCATCTTCTATCTTTTTGAACCCCACTATGCCCATTCTTTTCTCTCACCTTTACTCTCTGTAACCCCCTGCACACTAGCGGCATTCCTGCCTTACTTGGGGTGAAATGATTAAAAAAAAAACCTTTCTGGAGGTGAGTGAGAGGTTAATAGAGACAATGAATAAGGCAGAAGGAGACAACTTTTATTTGAAAAGACCTGAAACACCTAAGAGATTTCATTCTGACTGCATTCAGTATTTTATTGTTTAGATTCATAAACAAAACTGGATCAGTTTACAAATTAATAGGGAGAAGGAAAAGGTTAAAAGGAAAAAAGAAATAAAAAGATATTACTCCAAACATTATTTTAATAGATACTCATATTTGAGTAGATGCCCCATTTTACAAACTGTGTGAATTACCGCAAGTTTCAAGAGACTTAATAAAGGTTAAGCTGTCTAAAGCATGCCAGCTCAGATTGTGGTTTCTCCTGCAAAGGCAGATACAGGTTCAATCCCTGCTAGAAAGCACATTTCTTTGTTAAGTCTCTTGAATGCACAGACTGTTAAATATAATTCACACTGTTTGAAAAAACAGAGTGTCTATTCAAACACAGATATCTACTAAAATAATGTTTGAAGTTATAAGATATATATAGTTAATAGATAAAGAAAAGTTCAGTAGACTTATACTTCCAAGTTTTACAGATATATGACTTGTCTGGGTCAGATAAAATCTACTTAATTCATCAACAGATATATTTGTATTTGCTACGTAAAAAGCTAATTATTGACAAATTTCAAAACTTTATACTAAAATCATGGCAACATTTAAACATTAAAAACATTATAACATGACATTTAACCAATATTTTTACTGTTATAAAATGTATTTTTGAAAAAAGAAAAAGAAACTGTGTAGATGTTTTTGAACTCTATCAAGACAAATATATTTACAGGATTATAATTTGTTTACCTCTTCAGGAATTGACATGCAGTTCTTAAGAGCAGGTTTGGATCTTGCACAAGAAGCTGTTTATTCTTTGCACAAATCGACCACAAGAGAAGTATGTTATTTTTTTCTGTTTGCTTTTTTATTTAAAAAAAAAAAATTTGGTTCTTTTGAAAATTTCTATTTGCAACATTTGCTTTCTTTTGCAAAATTACCATGAGAATATTTTGCAATCTGATCATATTGCATTGAAATTTCAGATATATTCCTTGGTTTTTAAAAGTTTGTTTTAAATCACTTTTATAAAAGAGGTACATTAGTATGGGTTTCTCTGCTTTTTGAAATGGTGTAAAGTGAAGAAGCATTTATCATTAATTCATACAGGATCGACATTAGTAGAAGTTAAAAGGACTCTTCATATTGATTTTCTTTTTTGTTTTTTTCACAATTTCTTGTCTATCAAAAGTTTGTTAAAAATTATGTTGTCATTTTTAAACTGATTAAAACACAAAATACCTGTGCATCAAATATTACTGCCACATCTAGGCTGGCAATTCTGACATGTATCTAGAGATTCTTAACAAAATCCAAAGAAAAATTTACAATGTTTCCCACCATCATAATATAGATTCCATGTGCCTTTCCTATAAATACTTTCATAGAAATTGTTCTGATGAGCTATCCTCTTTTATATCTTGACTTCACAAATTTAAGTGCAATACGAAATTAGCAGTTTGGTCACATTATTTTTCTGTTGAAATTGCTAAGCTTAAGTTCTATGCTAATGCTTTCTTCACCTGCACTTCTTGTTTGTTAAACTCTTTTCTGGCTTCTTGCATTTCTGTTTATTTCAGTATATCTTTATTTTTTTGTATTCATTTTAGCACTTTAATTTTAGTTTACCATATTTCATAGGAAATGACTCTTTGGCTGAAACATTTGAAACAAAAAAAAGAATTATTGTAAAAGAGTAAAGCGGAGAAAAGTAATTGACAGTCATAATAATGAACAGGGTAAATTTTATGTATGTTTTTTTGTTTCTCTATTCTGTCATTCTCAAGCAATCTATCTATCTATTTATCTATCTGTTAAGGTCCAGGTTAGGACCAAGGAAGAACAACACGAACACAAGAGTAGAAATAATGAAGGTATATTACACAAAATAATAATAAAAGATGTGGAAGGTGTTAGTATGACTGTCAGTCTGGTTTGGAGTGAACTACTATCGGTTTGACTCGATTCGACCCTCTCTCTTGAGAGGTGTAGTATACATAGTGTT